ATACATACATACATACATACATACATACATACATACATACATACATACATACATATATACATACATACACATTCACACACTACAGACACTCTCTCTATCTTTAGATTATCTATCTCTTTTTCGATCTCTTTCTATTTGTCTTCTTTTTTCTATAAGAGAAAGATAGAGAGAGAGAGAAAGAGAGACAAAGACAGAGACAGAGAGAAATAGAAAAAGAGAGAGGGACACACAGAGCGAGAGAGAGAGAGCGAGAGAGAGAGCGAGAGAGAGAGCGAGAGAGAGAGCGAGAGAGAGAGCGAGAGAGAGAGGGAGAGAGAGAGAAAGAGAGAGAGAGAGAGAGAGAGAGAAAGAGAGAGAGAGAGAGAAACCCACACACACTCACACACAGAGAGAAAGAAAGAGAATGAGGAAAGGAGTGAGAAAGACAGAAAGACAGAGAGAAAGATAGAAAGAAAGAAAGAAAAAAAGAGGCCCCGAAGATAAAACTTTCTTCCACTAAGTCCCCCCCATAACACCCGTGTCCTCAAGTATGTTCTATTTACCTCCGTCTTGATCTTAATCCCGGAGAACCTGTGGACGAAAAGGAAATGGAAAATTGAACAAGTTTTGGACCCTTGTTGGAGCTGGTGAATTCTTGCGTTGCATTGTGTTTGATGGGATAGCACTTCTGAAAGACAGTGACATTTCAAATGTCCTATTTTTGCCACCAAGGAAAAAACAACAACTAAAGTATGGTTGGTCGAGATATCACTTAGGTTTGGGGAGGGAATTGTACATCTGCTAACAATCCCGTGAGAACTAAGTTATCTCTTAACAACAGTACAAAGGTAATTGTTGTTGGCGACGGGGTCGAATCGGGCTCTCGATAATTACTTTTTTTGAGAATGTAGAGTTATTAGTATCATCTTAAAGCTTGTTCATTTGTCTTGCTTAGGTTGAAAAAAAAATCCAATTTATCTTGAAAAGAAGTCGAGATATTTGCTATTTAAGGAGAAGGGGGGGGGGGTCACATGGTTTCAGAGGTAAAGTCAGCGAGAAAATGGCCGTCAAAGATGATTTAATTACTTAGCCTGAGAGTCCGTGGAAACTGGAACTTTACTTTTTTGTGCCTTTAATAAACCGTAACAAAAAATATCCACACCAAAATGTGCTATTTAATGGACATGCCAGGTGTTGCGCCACAAAAACAACAACGAAAATTGGATTTAAAATTCTCAAACCTGCCGGAAAATGCCAGTTTCTTTGCTTTGATTATTTTGACGAGCGCCTGATTTCATCACGATGCCTCCCAATTGTTGTTGGCGAATCTTTTCTGATTGCTCGAAATGAGTGAATTAATACATGTGTATTTCATTGATTTACCATAATTACTTTTGTTTTTATCTATTTTATTTTTTTGGTTTGGACTCTACATCTTTTCTTTCCACTTACAACACATTCCTACGTGGATTTCACACAACACGTTGATCAAAGACACAAAAATGTCAAATTTGAAATTTCCAGGGACACTGCAGCTTTGAAAGTTGCCAACCTTCGGCGGTGATTTTTTTCTAACTTTTGCCCCTTACACCAGATGACCTCCGCTCTCATCAATGGCAAATATCTAGATTCACTTAGACTTCTGTTCAAAATAGATGGATATTTTTCAAAACCAAAAGCAAGACAAACAAACAAGCTTTAAAATGATACCAAAATTGTCTTATAATGCCTCAAAACTGACAAGGACCTGACTGCACCATGAAGCCACACGAATAATATTGTTATAATATATTCAGCCCTTCCCTCAAACGTGAAACAAACTTCCCCAGTCTTTTATCATTTCTCCTGTCACTATCACACAACGTCGAGCCTTAGAACATTTCCTGATGAATCAGGCGCTCGTCATATTCTAGGCATATGAAGCTCTTGGTATAATGTACAATAAATCAATTCATTTACCTGTCACAACACTATGCTACCTGAGAATTACAAAGAATATCTGCTCAGTGCCTAGTTTTGAGAAATTTGACGTCAGAAGTTTTGAGATTCACAATATGTCAAGCTTTTTTCAATGCAATTCTTTGAATATCTTGATAACGACTCCGAATAATCGTATGATTATGCTAGAGCAGATTAGAATATTTGGTTTCAGACCTCATGGTCTTTAAAGTTACTCGAAACGGCCAAAAATGTCATGTAGAATTTTTGTAATTCTGGGGTAGCGACTAGGTTCCGAACGAGCTGTGACAAAATGCCTGGCCGGATAATTTACCTGGTGAGTCCTTTGCCTGTGTACACCGACTGGTAGTAGATGGAGCTTTCCTTGATGCCGATACCGTAGTAATGATATCTGGCGGGAGGGAAAGGGTTAAATAATAATTATCCTATAACTAAAAGTTCTGCAGGTTAAAAAGTTGCTTTGTTGAAGAAAGAAAAAAAAACAATGAATTTTTAAAAATTGTAGTAGCTACATGTAGGGACAGTTTTGGTTACGAAACTTACTGTCAAAACTTTAAAAACCTACGAAGAAGAATTCACGACAAATTGAAGTACCCCTCCCACCCTTCCGACCAACCGCCCACCCCAAACAAATAATTAAAACAAAACAAAAAACAGAAACCGCAGAAACAAAACAAAACAACAACCTCGTTGCAAACAAGCAAAAAACAAAATAAAAACAACCCCCCCCCCA